GGACTTCCACGACTTTGTTTCAGGGCCGGGATATGCTGGTATTTACGGCATTTCCGTGTTTATACGTCTTTATCTCTTTAAACAAGGACCATGCAGACCCGAGCGCCTTAACGACCTAAAATACAGTCATAATCATCATACTCATCAACATCATCATACTCATCAACATCATCATTGACCTGGGGAGGGGGGGTGGGTGGGTGGGGGGGCTAAGCGCGAGCATGTTCAACAACATCATCATACTCATCAACATCATCATCATCAGAACAGTAGCACTCAATATCATCATACTCATCACCATCATCAAAATATCATCATCATAGCAGTAACATTCAATACCATCACATTCATCGTCGCCATCAACATCATCATCACAGTGATACACAATATCATCCTACTCATCATCATCATAACAACATACTGGAAAATCATTCTCATCACCATCATCATCATCACCACCATCATCACAGTGATACACAATATCATCATACTCATCATCATCATAACAACAGTAACACTCAAAGTCTTCATCTCCATCATCATCAACATCTTTGTGATACACAATATCACTTCACCAGAACCATAGTGAGAGCAGTATCTGGGCTTTTCACACAAGCCATCTGCCACAAGCTTGTGAAGACATTTCGCAGGGGTCTTTCACAAGGCGTCGTAATGATTCGACATCACCACGACGCACCCAGCAAGCCTGCTTCGCACTGCCACTGTAGGACTGCGTAGCCTGTGCTTTCAGCTTGCCGTCCTCCTGCACACGCCGCAGCCGTCGCTCCTTCCCTGCTTTGCCAGCACGCTGTCCAAGCTTGGCTTTCAGATCACGGATGATCTGCCCAGCTATGCTCGGACACATCTCCTGACGGTGTCCCGTCTGACCGCACAGTCGGCAAGCATGCTTCGCTTGAGGCACGACTTCCACTTGAACCGAAATAAGCCACTTTCCAGGGCGCTCGGCTCACAGCAACATACGCATGCGTAAATGACGTCCCTGCCGTGTGTTTCTCACATGCATGCACAAAAACAACGGCGGCAAATACGCGCAAAGCGCGTACTACTACTACTACTACTACTACTACTACTACTACGACTACTACGACTACTATGACTAC